TTGAATTTATTAAAAATTTTTTTAAAGACTTTAGTAGTTCGCTCTTGCAAGCTTTGCGTGCAATGTCATTAAAAAATTGTTGTGAAAAGCTTATACTTTTACACATTTCAATATTTCCAAACAATTACATACTTTCTTCGCAATGAAGATTTTTTGCCGTCAAAGGAGGAAGTCAAATATTTTGCCATAGGTGAGTTAGATTCTAAAGATAGATTCTTAAGACTTCATCTTTCAATTGATAACGAATTGTTATTATTGCTTTTAAGCCATTCAACTCAACCATCATTTTGCATTTGATGCTGTGGAATTTTATAATATTACCTTAATTTAAGTCAACTCACGTAATTCCATTCCGGCAGAATATTCTCCAAGTGGTGACAACCCTAGTCGACAGAGCTTTCCAACACTGGTCGCGTTGACATTGTAAATAATTCGTTTTGAGAGATAAAGCTGAATCCTACCGAAAATGGCCAACAAGTTCCGGAATCTAAACAGCAAACTGTTCCAGCTGGCCAGGAGCAGCTTCCAGCGGACATCGGTGCGTCCCCGGATGATTTTGCATGGTCGTGGAAGCGGCTTTACCGGAAATCGCAAGGTGCTGGGCGCCTTGGGAGCCCTAACCGGAACAGCAGGGCTACTGATCTACGCCCTGGAAACCAGCGTGGACGCCTCCTCGGACTGCGTGCATCCGGCCCACCAGCACTGGGACCACAAAGGCCTTTTGTCCGCCTTGGACAAGGAGAGCGTGCGCCGAGGATACACCGTTTACAAGGAGGTCTGCTCCACCTGCCACTCCTTGCAGTACATGGCCTATCGCAACCTGGTGGGCGTGTGCATGACGGAGGCGGAGGCCAAGGCCGAGGCGGAGGCCATAACCGTGCGGGATGGCCCCAACGAAGAGGGCGAGTACTACGAGCGTCCAGGCAAACTGTCCGATCACTTCCCCTCGCCGTATGCCAACGAGGAGGCGGCCCGTTCCGCCAACAATGGCTCCTATCCGCCGGATCTCAGCTATATTGTGTCGGCTCGCAAGGGTGGCGAGGACTACGTGTTCTCCCTGCTCACCGGATACTGTGATCCTCCGGCTGGATTTGCCCTACGCGACGGACTGTACTTCAATCCGTACTTCTCGGGCGGAGCCATTGCCATGGGCAAGGTAGTTGACAACGAGGTGGTCTCCTATGAAGATCCAAATGTGCCTGCTTCGGCCGCTCAAATCGCCAAGGATATATGCGTCTTTCTCAAGTGGACTTCTGAACCGGAGTCGGATGAACGACGCCTGCTGCTTATCAAAGTTACTCTGATTTCGGCCTTCTTGATCGGCATTTCCTACTACATCAAGCGTTTTAAGTGGTCAACGCTCAAGTCTCGCAAGATCTTCTTCATTCCCGAACTGGAGGCACAGGCCAAAAGGGAGGCGGAGGAGGCTGCCAAAGCATCGCAAAAGGCCAAGCAGCAGGAGTGCAACAAGTGCGAGAACCAGAACGAGAAGCAGGACTAAGTTTGGTGAACTCCGTAAATAAATGTTTTCGAATTAAAACAATTGGCGCGCTTTTTATTAATCGATAGGCTTTCCAGGGCTTTGACGTCCGTGTTGGAAAGCACCAAGTACTCTGTAAATGATTCTTGCCGGTCTGTTAAAGCAGCTGTTATGTTAACATAGTAAACAAAGTTAAAGTAGCTAAAACTAAAGTTTTGATTTTAATTTTGAACTCAAAGCCCATTCATTTAGTTATTTTTGTTAACAATGACCACGTTTCCATCAGCCAAATTCATGGAGTGTCTGCAGTATGCGGCTTTTAAGCACCGCCAACAGCGGCGCAAGGTAAGCTTATTAAAACCAAAAATTACAATATATTTGAAAAATAAATATTACCTTTTCTATATTTCAAGGACCCTCAGGAAACCCCTTATGTGAATCATGTGATCAATGTGAGCACTATTCTCTCCGTGGAAGCCTGCATCACAGATGAGGCAGTCCTAATGGCTGCACTTCTGCACGATGTCGTGGAGGATACGGATGCTTCCTTCGAGGATGTGGAGAAACTCTTTGGAGCGGATGTTTGTGGACTAGTGAGGGAGGTGACGGACGACAAGTCCTTGGAGAAGCAGGAGAGAAAACGGCTGCAAATTGAAAATGCAGCCAAAAGTAGCTGCAGAGCAAAGCTTATAAAACTGGCCGACAAACTGGATAACCTAAGGGATCTGCAAGTCAACACACCGACAGGATGGACACAGGTACTTGGGCCCATCTTGCTTTTACGAACTGTGCCTTACATGTTACCCCTTTTCTTTCTAGGAACGTCGTGAGCAGTACTTCGTTTGGGCCAAAAAGGTGGTGGACAATCTGAAAGGAACCAACGACCACCTGGAACTGAAGCTGGACGAAATCTTCCGCCAACGTGGCCTTTTGTAAACTCAAAAACCAACAAATTATAGATGATCATGTTTAATTTTTATTGTTCTTGCAAAAGGCCACCATCAGATTGGCCAACTGTTGGGTCTCCGCCAGCGTTACAGCGTTGTAGAGGGAGGCTCGAATGCCGCCCACCGAGCGATGACCCTTCAACTGGATCATGCCCTCCGCCTCGGCTTTGGCCAGGAACTCCTTCTCCAGGGCATCATCTCCACTGGCACTGCCAATACGGAAGGGCACGTTCATCCTCGAACGCACATTGACATCCACTGGGCAGTAATAGAAACCATTCGACTGGTTGATGGTGTCGTAAATTAGCTTGGACTTGGCCGCCGCCAGCTTGGCCATTCCAGCGACTCCGCCGTTGCGTTTGATCCACTTGAAAACCAGGCCCATCACATAGATGCTGCAGGGAGAAAGTTTAACCAGGAATTCTCCAGCTATGTTTCATTCTGAGCTCACCCAAAGGTCGGCGGCGTATTCAGCAGGGAGTTGTTCTTGTCCATCTGCTCAAAGTTCAGGATGGAGGGCGTGATCTTCATTTGCTTGCCGATCAAATCATCCCTGACAATGATCACTGTGGTGCCTGCTGGTCCGATATTCTTCTGTGCTCCCGCATAGATCACGCCAAACTTGGAGACATCGAAGGGACGCGACAGAAAGTTGGAGGACATATCGGCCACCAGTGGCACGCCGGCTGGCACTTCGGGCACAAAGTCAAACTCCACGCCCTCTACGGTCTCATTGTCGCAGTAGTAGACATACGAGGCATTGGGGTCCAGCTGCCAAGTCTCCTGCCGCGGAACAGTTGTATATTTGGCCAGCTTTGGCAGCACCGCGTTCACAGTGCCGTACTGAGCCGCCTCCTTGGCCGCCTTGGCCGACCAGGAGCCGGTGATTACGTAATCAGCAGTGCCCGTTTTGCCAATCAAGTTCAGAGCCACGGCAGCGAACTGCCCGGTGCCGCCGCCCTGCATCAGCAGGATCTTGTAGTTGCTGGGCACATGCAGGAGCTCTCGAAGATCGTTGATGGTCGCGTCGTGGATCTTGGCATAGTTGCTGGAGCGATGGGACATCTCCATGACCGAGATGCCGCTGCCATTGCAGTTCACAAGGTTTTCCTGCACCTCCTTCAGAACCTGTTTAATTAGAGATTATAATGCCTAATATTACAGATATGTCACGTGTGTAGCGGAGTGGTTTCACTCATTTCACCGACCTCCTCGGGCAACTTGGCTGGACCGGCGGCGAAGTTGATAACCATGCTGATACTATGTGGTGCGTCTGCGATCTGTGAACCTCGCTGGGAAGCCGCGGAACATTGACTAAAGTGTTGAGCGACCCGTATTCGCAATCGCTGATAAACGAGACGAAGGCGGCGCAAAGAACAGCAACAAGTCGCCGGGCAATAAACAAAACGCGTGCGGAAAAACAGACTCAAACTCGCCCGACTGGACAACGAACTCAGCCGATCCAGGGCCGGATTCTCCCCTGTGAGGGTATGCCACCTTAAGCCCCCAATTCAAAACTCCGCTCCTGGGGAGTCCGCGAAGCCAAACAAAGGCGGGCGGTACGGCGAATTCGATCAAAACAAGTCGGTTAACCGCCTGGCGACCACACTCGCATACGTTTGTATGTACCTATGTACCTATGTACATACGTATATGCAACGCACGAAAACAAAGTGCTCCCCAGTGCCCCCCACTTCATCATTCGTGCGCCCATCCCGCGCGGTTGCCATGCACTTTTCGTTGGAATGACAATAACAAGCGAGCGGCTGAGTTCGCAGGCGAGTAAACAAGTTCGTGCATTGTACAGTGAGGCATCGATATCATTTCACAGATTATAATGGAGTATTTTGCACTATCTGCCTTTGCAGATCATAGAGCATAACCCATATAGGCATATGTAAGTTATTTTTGTATGCTTTGAGTTATCATGGTGCTTAAAACGGCTTAAATAACTTATATACTGGCAACCATAAGTGGCAGTAAATTAAGGGAATACCAAACCGTCTGGCGATTGAGAATTCCACGAACTGTTCCGTATCTGCAACTGATTCCTTATCCGCATCCGCTTCCTACGGCTGGCTAAGTGGCATAGTAAAAGGGCAATCAGAAGTGCTTTAGACCTATGCCACGAATACTTATCTTGGCCTACGTCTTGGCCAAATTCGTTGACCGTCTAATTACTTTATAGCACTTACTGTGGCAGCCTGAAAGGTGCTTAGAGTTTCCAATTTGCCCGGGCGCCCAAAACGAATTTCCTATGAGAAGCTGGCCAACGTGTCTGGAAACCCAAACGTGCTCGGCTCGTGCGTTCCATGTGCTCTGGGAGTGGGAGATGTGGGTGGATGGATGTGGGTGTTGCCGGGTGGTAAGGTGGGAAGGTGGTGCTCCTGGTGGGCGGTGGGAACTGGTTCGGCTCGCTCGGCTGTGGGCTGGTCATTCATAAACGCTGAGCCAAAAAGCCAATAATTTTGCCCTGTAATGTTGATTGCACAGCTCAATGGGGCGCCTTTGGCTCCGAGACGTCGGTGAATGTTGAATGGTGAATGGTATTCGAAAAAATCCTCAAACAACAATTTCGTTTTGACTAATTAGGGTTTTTAAGATTTATTGCCCGGCATTTGCCGGTGTACAGCTGCCTCGAAAGTAAGTACATAATTTCAGTTATTGCCGCTCCGGCTGCACCACGTTCACAATGTCGCTCCAAAAGGTTCCGTACTCCTGTAGCACAGTGCCCCTGCAGCGAAAAGTGAAAATGCAAATGTAAATTCTTATGGCAACTCATGATTTTTTCTAATTTATACGTAAGAGGCGTGGCTGCGGCTATAAATAGTTGGTAGATGATGATTGGACAGTTCCAGCGGATGATTTTCGAGGTGAGATGGCACTGGACTACAGTACTTTCAAGTTCAACTAAGTGGCCATGGAGCAGAGGCATCTAAGCATCTAAGCCTCAGCCAAAAATTATACATCTAGTGTTACTTCTTGGTCTCACTTTATTCCCTTAGTGTACTATGATTATGGATTTTGGATCTTGGGTTCTGTGTGTCAAGCAAAATGTGTCCATAAACTTTGCTTGTCTGTTTCTGATTAATTCCCATATTTGCATATCCTGCTTTGGCAGAATGATAAATGAGTCAAGTGCCCGGAAAATACGCTTTGTGTGGTTAATTCACAGATGGCACTTGCTTATGTTGGCCAGTGTTATCTGGCGACCAAGTTGACAAAGTTGCATAAAAAGCATTGACAGCTTTTCTTTGGCTTTTTTGAGGTTGTCACCGCGTGGTGTCTCTGCCGTTTGATGCCTTTTTTGTGGACCATTGATGGGGGACTCTTTCCAAATAAATCAATTACATAATGCCTTTTGTGCGATTATCCGGCCACTTTTTGTCCGCCTGACAATTATGCGCGCATTACATTATGTGGGTCAACGTGGCGTATGATTAATGAATCCCTTCACGAGCCACAATGATGTTGCCACTACTTCTACCGCCGCCTCCGATGATAATGATGATTATTATGGGGGTGATGGCGCATATTAGACACGTACTGTGTTGTGCGAGGCCAGTTTTGACAAAGTGCTCCATTGAAACTGCCCGAAAAAATGGCGCTAAGCACTCATTTATTAAATTAACTTGGTAGTGAAACTTCAGCATTTAAGTGTGACTTTAAGAGTAGTAGGAGTTAGTAAGTGAATCCTATTCAAAATGGATCTATTATATAGATCCACAGTTTCCAACTTACGTGAAGTAGACGTATCCCCGCTTATTTTCCGGAGCCTTCCAGATCAGCTTGGCACCCAGCTTGTCCCGGTTGTCCGAGTGCGTGATGGCCGAGCACTCCGGAATGGTCTTGGTGTTCTCGCTCTGCACCCACTTGCCGATCCACTCGTTGGAGTTGGCATCGCGCGCCTGCAGGAAGAAACCCCGGAAGACGGTGCTCTGCTCCGAGCGCGGATAGATGACCACCGATATCTGCTGGCCGGGATGGTAGGTCTGTGCATCGGCCACCACCTCGTAGGGATTCGTGTGCGCCGGCTGACTGCGAGCCTTGCCGTGATTCGGCTGATTGGCCCGCTGCTTCACGCACGTGTCCGCCGGAGCTCCGTCCGGAAAGGCGACGGCGGCGCCTATCAGCAGGATCAGCTCCAGCGACATCCAGTTGAAACGATCCTTCATGGCTCTGGAATTCGTTTTCCTGATCGTGGGAAAATTCGCGCGCGCTCTCGGCTAATCTGGCGGTAAAACTCGGCTCGCCGCCGTCATCGCCGACCGCTTATAAACCCAAGCGGCAATGCCACAAGCGCCGCTGCCGCCGAAGACATGGGCGGGCGGTCAAAATCGCTGGGTAGCCACAGTTGGGGATGCTGAAATAGGATTGGTATCCGGTGAGTTACAAATATATGTGGCAGTTATGGGACAAGTCAGCGCCCCTACTCTCTTCTCTATTGATCAAATGTTATGATAGATCGAACTAATAACCTTTGGCAAACGTGTCAAAATCGCTTAGTAAAACTACAGCGAGACACGAACGTAAATCATTATTGTTTTGAGGGAACTAACACGGAGTGATGTGGCGGAGATAAATCTTTGACAGATGCCAGCCAATCGATTAATTTGGACTAGTTCATGGCCCGCAGCGGTGCTATTAAACTGACCGCAAACGTACAGGGGCGCTCAGCTGGCGGCGGCCAGCCAACCAGTTTTTAATGATCAAAAAGCAAATGGCCAAAACACACAGTGTTCCTTTCCTGCACAGTGATCCAAACTGGGTCACACATTAGACCCTCCCCTGGCCACCGATGCCGATGCCGATGGCGATGGCGATGCCGATTCGGATTTGTTGGCCTGGCCTGCCTGTCTGGGCCCGAAACTCTGGCTCTAAGTGCTCCATTGCGAAATTCTATGCTTCTAATCGCTGAAAATGTTGGAAATGTTGGAAAATCTTGTCCGCACTGCAAAACGTTCCGCAGTTTGTTTACTTTGCGCCTGTTCGCTGCATTTTTCAGCGCGTTTTAATGTTTTAATTGACAGGCAGCCGCCGTTGGCGTTGATTTTGCTGAATTGAGTTGGCTCTGGTTGCGTATTTTTTCCTTTTCCTTTTCAGACTTCTGATTTTTTTCTGCCTCCTTTGATTCCGCTGCGTTTCGCATTTCACAGCTTCAGTCGGCGGTTTCCTTTCCTCAGTGGAAAATGGCTTTCCACCGCCTCCTCTTCACTTCAGTTTTTGGCAAGTGAGATAATTGCAACAGCTGTCAGTGGGCATACAAATGGAAAATTATCCCAGTCAGTTCCTTAACTTGTGTGTAACCTCTTCAACATTTAATTATATATTTATGGCCGTACATAAACTGAAAGGTTTTAAATTAATGCTCATACTCACAAACGAATAACGCAGATTACTTGCATTTTTGAGGTTTATTAATATGTATATTATGCGAAATAATTGCAATTAAACTATAGCACATGCTACGCAGCACAGCTTTGTTCACTTAAAATTTCGTTTATTTGCATGAGTTTTCGCCGTATATTTTAGCTATAAATTTACTTTTAAATCCATTCGTTTAATTGCAGTTCATAAATAACTTACGCAGTATGGTAACTCAATAAAAAATATAAATAAAGTACCCAATTATTTTCTGCTCACTTTAATATCGCATTTTATTCACAAGCACTTCAAACAGCATACCAAATGGCCCACAAATTCTAATTTAATAAATGCGAAAATGACCAACAGCAATTCTGGCCAAAAAACACTTTTTAGTGCTCACACTTTGTGCCAAGTCAATTCGAAACTAGTTTCATTAATTAAAATGTTCGGTTAATTATTTAAATTGCACGTGCCAGCGTCAGCAACTTTTTGGGCACTAAGCTGCTATTGTTTACTTTTGGAAATGTGTTTGTGCTGAAACGTGCTAAATAATATTCAGATTGCTGAACTTTGCAATTGGGCATTGGCGTCTATTTGCATTTCAAGTTAGCCGCACTGCAAAGGTCAGTTAACCCGGTGGCTTCACTCTAACCGAAGGATCGGCAGGCCGAAAGGACATGTCATCCATTATGGATGCGGCAAATGCGAACTTTTAACTCCCTGCACTGGGCAGCAGCTTCCCGGAATATTCGGCCATTGAAACTGACATTTGGCTACATCACACCAGGTCTTGTTACGCTGCACAGAGAAAAATAAGTGATTAAGCATAATACTACACTTCATTTCATTTTACAGCCCATTAGTTACGCCCATCAAACCATTATATTACTATTAGGTTGTAAGCTCTATCCAAGTTAAATGAACTGAAATCTACCGATGCACGCAAGCCAGTGGCGTGTTTTTTTCAGTGCACCCATTCTCCGGCAATGCATGCGAAATTTACTTCAAACTAAAGTACGAAAAAGTGGGCAAACGAAGGAAAACTGCCAGCCGCCTTAAACCGATGTGCCATGTAAATAGTGGAGCTTGTGGGCGCAGGGGGGGTGGAAAGAGGGCGGGGCAGGGATCGGAAAATCCACTTCATCGGCGACGGTTGGCGCGGAAAAGTGTGTCACCTGCAGGCGGGAAATGCGCAGGTCCTGTGAGAGGAAAAGCGGCTGCCGCCTGATGGTGACTTTTCCTCGAAGACTTTTCACCAACGCCATGCTCGCATTTTCCACCAAGGCTGTGGGAAATTCAGTTCAGAACGTGGTCAGACGTCGAAGCGCGTGGTCGTGGAATTTTCCGAGAAAATCCTGGGGGAAAACAAACAGTGCGAGGCAGCAGCAGCAACAACAACCACTATCTAGAGCAGAGGAAATTGTGAGCAATTTGTATTTTAGTAGTATATTTCTTTACGCGCGTGAGTGTGTGTGTGTGTGTGCGAGAGTGAATGAGTGAGTGTGTGCAAGTGTGTAAGTGTGTGACTGTGTGATGAACCGAACAGCGTGCAACAAGAATAAAAAGAATGCCAAAAAGTGCCAAACACAAACAAAAAACAAGATGAAAACAGAAAAAAATACATAAACGGCAAGCAAATATTTTTCTGCTTGAGCAGGGCAAAGAAAAGCACAAACTGCAGCGTATCCATGCCCTAAAAAAAAAAGAAAAAATGAAAAAAGAGAAAACAGTGAAAAGCAATCAAAGTAATAAACGAATTGAGGGAATGGCGAGCCGAACTGAAAGCAAATCAAAAAAATCAATGCCCTTTCTGCGGAATTATACGTTGCGTATACGTGATATGTACCGCGCCAGCCAAGTCAAATAATAATAAAGGAAATTCTCACGTGACGCATAAAAAAACCAACTCACACACACAGCAACAACAACAGTAACACGGCATGCCCATCAAACACACGCACACAGCGGCAACTTACTACCTGGGACACAAATTGAAGTTGGCGAAACATATTTGCGCAGCAATGTTGCTACACGGCGCGAAAACCAGCTGCAGTAGTTTCAAATTGTGTATGAAATGGTTGTACATGCAGTGCATAAGCAGAAAAGAGTCGAACCCAATCCAAATCTACACAAGATATAGATATTTGAAGGCAAGTGGTAGTACTGCCTAAAAGTAGGCAACGGAATATTTCAATCGGGAAATGCAACTGGGAGCTGTATAAAAACCATATTAGTATGGACGATTTGTGTGAAATAGCTTGTTGCCTTGATGAAATACCTGTTTTGAGCCGAAGCACACAAAATCGCCTCTATTTTGCTCATATTTTCTGGCAAAGAGTGCCACTTTTCTCCGCCTGCACTGGCAGGCACATGATTATGATGAGCTCGTCTTGCAAACTGGTTTCTGTTTGGGGCTCGTGGCTCGTGGCTCGCAAATGACAACAGCTGGATGGCCGAGTGGGTGGCGCAAGATTGCCTTTTGCCGCATTTGTTGCCGCTATTTTGCATACATTGAATTTAATGAACTGCCGTGTGCGGTGTGTTGGATTTGCTTTTAATAATTTAGGCCGCGCGCGGACTAAATGGCGCTTTTAAAGTGTGAGCCGTCAGGCGACCCCAATATGGGCGACAAGCGGGCGAGATGAGGCGCAAATAAAAAACATACAAAAAATAAAAAAAAAAAATATGAAAAAGGGCAGGGAAAACACGAACCATTTAATGCCCCTTCGCACCCTGGTTGCGCCTGTATGGGTACGGTGCGCGCTGGTGTGTGTGCAACCCCAAGTCGGAAGGGCAGACACACTAACACACTTCAGCCGGAGGACTACGTCATCCTGGCCCAGAAGCTTTGGGACCAGCAGCCCAGCCAAACCAATGCGAACCGAACCCAACCAAACCAAACCAAAGCGAACTTCGCTGGGAGCCCAACTTTCCCCCGGCGTCGCCACATTTTCGCATTCACAATCACATCGCGTGGCACATCCATAGGCGTAAGGATACGGCATAGGCACACCAGCACACCAGCACACTCGCCCTTTTACACACACACACACACACACGCACAGAGCTTGGCGAGTGTGCACATGCACAGTAGGGTGAAGTTATAAGGACTCGAGCTGCGCTGCTCCTGCTTCGTATCGATTCCGGCTAACACAGACTTTGCGGCAGTTGCCGTCGCACACACTCGAAGAAAAAGGGGCTACTCAGATCTGGAACAAGGCAACTCCATTTTAAACGTTTTTCCGACTTGGTAGAGTCCACAAAGGTCCTTAAATTGCTCATTAGATTGAAGCACATGTGTAAAGCTTTAAGGAAATCAGTCTTATCTATTACCTACTTCAAGATCCTTAACTGGAAACGTTTCCAGATATTCTGTTTCCATATCATTCGCGTTAAGATCTCACTTCTTTCAGTGAAGACCCAGCCATTGCAGTTGCAGTTACTTCGCTACTTGCTGCACTGCAATCTGCATGCGGCATGACATCGCGCAGCCGAGGGATCTCAAGGATATGGGGGGCAGGCAGGGGGCGTGGTCGATGGAGACGTCATCAATTTCCAACCAGCCTATAAATACAACCAAAGTATATGGCACAATGTGATGCCTTTGGGCCGGCGGCAAAGTGTTGCAGTAAATTTCGAGGGGATCCGACTGCCGGCATGACCCTTGACCTTCGACTTGCACCATGTGGCATGCCCGCTTATGCTTCGATTTGCCGCCCCACAGACCACGCCCCCCATACCCTCTCCGCTCTTCAGGCAACTGCAAAATCATTTGCCATCGAAATCGCATGTCGACCGGCAGAAATAAAACTGAAAAAGCCAATAAGCAGAGAAGACAAGCCGTACAGCAAACCGAAAACCCAACCAGAAATCCTTGTCGCACAGTTTGCGTTTATAATTTATATACGACGTTCCCGTACGAGGAGGCTTCTCTTGTTTTAGTTGCGCATTCGTCCTTGTCCCGGCCAAGTATCCGTAACCAAGGCGGACTCGGAATCCAAAGCCCATGGATGGAGGAGGCCTTTAAGTGCGCCCGCTGGCATTTGGGGCTCCTCCCGTTTAGCTCGAGGAGCTGCCCGTTTTATGGCTATTAAAATATGCATTTAAATACACACCATGGTGTGCCATTTACCACACAAGTCATATAAGCCATATACCATATAATCTTCGATGCGGCCTGCGTCTGTCTCCGGTTTTCGCTCATTCGGGGCTCCTTAGCTCCTTAGCTCCTTAGAGTATGAGCTCCTCTGGGGCGCTGTTGAAAATTGAAATTGCGCGCTTATTTATGGAGAAATGGCGGGGACGCTGGCGTTGATTGCCGTAACGCCCCATTGCCTGGTACATGACTATAATAATGATTGCCATTTTTATAGGCCAGCAGCACCGGCGCTGCGAAGATAAATTGTTTGGCTGCTTGGAAAATCGTTTCGCTTCGACATTTGAATCCTTTCGCTGCAAACTTTCGGCTTGATTTTCCCCAGCCAAACGGCTGCTGTGGTGGGTCAGCATGAATGCCAATGAAGAGCGCCGCTCTACACGGCGTATACTTAATTTTTCAGTGGCCCATACTGCTAGTGCTTTCGAGCGCTGACAGCACCTCCCATAGGCGCGGTTTGCTTAATTGCACTAATTAATTTGGCTGAGGTGAGTCTGTCCTTTAAGTAGCTTGAGCATAACTAAATGCCGCATCTCTGGGGCTTTCGGCGTGTGTATCCACCACCTCCAGGTTAAATAATACAATTGCCGGCACTCGACTGGCCCCGTTTTGCTGATGACACAGAACCGAGGAGTTCAGGAGTCCTCATTATCGTGCCCCCGACATAAGTACAACATACATCGTTTATATGTGCGGCAGCACGTGTGGCATATTAAGCAAACTGTGCAAACAGTCGTTGGCACATTAACCATGTCATGGCAAGTGCATATGCCAGTCTATCACCGCCGACACTTGGCTTTCCAAGTAGCGAAGTGAATTATCCATATTTCATGGCTATATTATATTGTTCAAAGCAACTATTTCGCTGAGTGCATGCCAGCCTGTTCTATTTATAGCACACAAATGGCACATATTATATTATACTTTTGGTGCGTGATCAATGGAGTGCGCGTTGCAGGCATTATAATGACCAATGGCCATCGAATGCCACTCGATTAGCAGCACTTCACGCCGCTCTAAATGGATTCCGGAGCTTATGGATTCCCATGGCTAGGCCCGGGAAAATCGCATTTTCCTTCCGCACTGCTGGCTATATGTGCCACTCGCCTAAGCTCCGCTTTTCGCACGTGGCATGCACACGACGCAGAGGTTAAATATTGCAGCACTTTCATGCGATTCCTGGAGGCGCCTCCCATCCGATCCCATCCACATCCACTTCCGCAGTTGCATCCGGCGAGCGACGGCAAAAAGCGGAAGATTTGCATGGCGAGAACAGAAATCGATGGGTATTATTGGGCATATCCAGATAATGCTCTCATCGCCTTTGATAACTTTGAAAACTTGTGTTATGTTGCAAATGCCATCCTTTAAGGCACACCAATATGTCCCTTAAATCCATGAAGGTAGCAACAGCGAGAGGCAACGAAAGAAGTATGTTTTGGTACAATACATTCCTTGAAATATTTATGGCTTTCAGTGGGTAGCTCGGAACGCAAGGTTCAGCCCTGAATATAGCCATTTGCAGCGCTGTCTAGCTGGCAATAATTTGCAACATTCATCGTCAGTTCGACACGGAAAAGTGCACTGGATTCGGACTGGGAATTTCACTGCGAGTGGCGAATGCGACTCCGGATGCATTGTTGATGGCCTGCCGCATGGCAGCGAATTTAATGGCGAAAATTTCTATTGTTTGGGGAAATTGTTCTTAAATTGCGCCGCAAATCAACGCCAGAATAAAAGCGGCGCGCAGTAGATCGAACACAGGGCGATATCCGCTTTGAATTTCCCCCAGACAAAAGGGAAGCAGTTGAATCAGAAATACTTGTATATCGCCATGGGTGTGTGACATGCTGACATATCTGATTTTGTACAATCACCCGCTGAACGCCTCGTTGCGTGCATTAGAAACTCATTAACCGGGCTCGTATTCGGCTCGCATTTGGCTGGCTGCACACGGGGCGTATGGGTGATATTGCACACAATCGTTATGTGGCACTTGCACTTAGAAATGTATATGACAGCTGCAAGCTGTGCAAAGTCAAGCCATTTATTTATAATGTGTCAGGCGGCAAAGGTTAAAAGTTGCCCATCGACTGCCATCAACTCCGCTCAACTGCTGGGCATCAATTGCAATGGCAACTCGATGGAAATCCGTTTACATTGAACTCGCCCCCACTTCCTTTTCCTGCCCCTGCCCCTGCTCCTCCGCCCCTTGCCACCCCTTTCTGCCAGCGGAAACGGAAATGCACAATGGCAAGAGGCAAGA